TTGAGGAATTGGCAAAAGCTTGATATTTTTCTCCTCTTTTCTTATTCAAGAACAAGATTTGGGGCCTAGAACTCCCTCTAAAGCCAAGGAATTTTCAGATCTACAGTTGCTCCCTTCCCCTGTCCGCGAGCTGCTCTTGCCGGTGGGTGTGTAATTTCGGTTTTCTGGTATGAATTAACCATGAAATCATCCCTTTAGCCTTGATTCAAGTTGGGTTACTCTAATTTTTTTTTTTTTCCTTCAATTTCGTGTTAGTTCTTTGCGAATCCTGTCCCTACCATACCTGCCAGATCTGGTTCTGCTTGTCATAAAATTTTGGTAAGATGATAGCTTCCGTAAGCTTGGATTTTTATCAATTAATTGCTACCCTGTATTGTTGCAATTTTCTGTGTATTGTGGAAGGAACCCGTTAGTTGCTACCCCCTTTGCTGTACGAAAATTTCTGCCGAAACAAGGGAAGAATTTGGCAGCATTTTAAATTTGTTTTTGTGCTTGGTTTATGTAGGAATTTTGTTAATTAGGCAGCTGTGATGTCTAGAGAAAATCACATGAATTAGCTATTGCCTTGCCAAGTCCGGTTCCTCCATGTTGTCCGTGGGATTGGGAAAATTATGCATGTGTATTTATGTGTATATATAAATACACAAATCTGATTTTGTGCTTAAATTCAAAAGGAAGAAAAATAGAATAAAATAAAATTGCATTATTGGGGGTTATTGCCGGCAACAATTAACAGGATTAAATGTTTAGTTTCTAATAAGAATGAAATTAGAGATGTTCGGTCATGTGGAGACCCATAAAAATAGCATCTTGATTAGGGGGTAGTCATGGTGATTTTACTTTTGAATCCATGGTACGGTAATTAATTCTTGGATATTTTGATTAGGTTCCTGATCGTTCTGTCAGTTTAGCACTGAAATCGAGTCTTCGATTTTATGCGAGTGAGGTAAGTAAATTATGGTAATGTCCTTTGATTTTAAAGCAAGTTTTAAATTGTTTTTGAGATGACGGCAAGGTTTAAATTGATTTTAAATTGATTTTATTTGCACCGAGCATGATTGGTTTGAAATGAAATTGTTTTCATTTGCATTGAGTAGAGCATGCCTATTTGGATGCCATGATGAACTGAGAATTTTGTAAATTCTGAGTTTTTCTGTTAAATCCATGCTTACATGGAAATTTTTTGGTTTGTTTTTGAAATTTGAGATTGATTGTGAATTACGGATTTTCTGTAAATCCTGCATGGTTTTGTCTCTAATATGGTTATGATTACTAACGCCCGCCAATGGGAGTTTGCAATCACTAGCACATGTCGACATGTTTACTGATATGACCGGTCCATTCTGTAATCCTGCCAATGGGATAATACATTGGTAATTACTAACGCCTGCCAGTGAGATTTTGTTAAACACTGGTACTTACCGACTCCTGCCAATGGGCGAATACATTGGTAATTACTGTAATTACTAACGCCTGCCAGTGGGAGTTGTTAAACACTGATTATTACTGATGCCCGCTAGTGGAAGTTTGTTAAATTGTAATATCCCAAATTTTTGGGAATTTTATCAATTAAGTTAGGGGATTTATTTTGGGAGAAAGATTATTTTGGGGCTTAATAGCTAAAATCTCCAAAGTTGAGGGACTTAGAAGAAAGGAAATAGGATAAGGATTGACTAATTTCTTTTCTTTTCTTTTTCTTTTCTTTCTTTCTTCTTCCCACGCGTGTCCTGCTCTTCCTCTTCCGCCCGACCCTCTGCAACCTGACGAGCTCCCCAGCTACTGCCACCCATTTTCGGCCGGGAACAAGGGTAAAACTTGGGGATTTCTCCTTCTTTTCTTGTTCTAGAACACCTATTAAACCTAGAATTTTCCAGGTCTGCTCTCTTCCCTCTGCCACGAGCTCCCTGTTGCTGGGTGGGTGAAATTTTCGGTTATTTTGGGTAAGCAACAACCATGGAATTCATCTTTTCCCTCTTAATTTGGCTTGGGTTCACTCTAATTGCTTTTATTTCTTTCCAATTTGGTGTTAGTTCTTCTCCAATTCCCGCCAGCCTTTGAACCCGCCAGGCTCGGTTTGGCTTGCCAGAATTTTCTGGTATGAAACAGCTTTTAAAGCTGAATTTTAAGCCATTTAATTGTTGCCATGCTGAGTTTTAATGGTTGAATTGCTGCCCTATTGTTGTCCGAATTTTCTGTTGAAATGGAGGGGTTTCGGCAGCCTTAAAACATGGGTTTTAAGCTTGCTTAATGTAGAAAATTAGCTTATTATGACTGCTGTGAGATTTTGGAGAGAAATCCCATGAATTAGCTATTGTTTTTGCCAAATTTTTGGAAGTTGCAGTTACTGTTCACTTCTGTTCACAGGTACTGTTCACGCACTAATGGCCAACAATTAACAGGGATTTAAATGTTTAGTTTATAATATAAGAACAAATTTGGAGATGTCTGGTCATGTGGAGACTGATAGAAATAGTATCGTGATTAGGGGTTGTCCTAATAATGATTTCACTTTGAATTTGTGGTAGTGCGGTATTAACTTTGGAATATTGTGATTAGGTTTTGATCGTTCCGTCATCGTAGCACTTGGGTTAAGCCTTTTGTTCTGTGCGAGTAAGGTAAGTAAATTATGGTAATGTCCTTCGATTTCAAAGCATGTTTTAAATTGTTTTTGAGATGGTAGCAAGGTTTAAATTGATTTTATTAGCACCGAGCATGATTGGTTTGAAATGAAATTGTTTTCATTTGCATTGAGTAGAGCATACCTACTTGGAATTGAATGAACTGCCTTGATGAACTGAGAATTTTGTAAATTTTGATTTTCCTGTTAAATCCATGCCCACATAAAGATTTTTCGGTTTGTTTCTGAAATTCAAGATTGATTGTGAATTACGAATTTTTTTGTAAATCCTGCATGGTTTTGTCTCGGATGTAGTCATGATTACTAACGGCCGCCAGTGGGAGTTTGCAAACGCTAGCACATGTCGACATGTTTACTGATATGACCAGTTCATTTTGTAATCCTGCTAATGGGATGATACATTGGTAATTACTGATGTTTGCCAGTGGGAGTTTGTTAAACACTGATACTTGCTAACGCCTGCCAATGGGCGAATACATTGGTAATTATTGACGTCTGCCAGTGGGAGTTTGTTAAACACTGGTACTTACTGACGCCTGTCAGTGGGAGTTTGTTAAACACTGGTACTTATTGACGCTTGCCAATGGACGAATACATTAGTAATTACTAGCGCTTGCCAGTGGGAGTTTGTTAAACACTGGTAATTATTGACGCCTGCCAATGGGTGAATACATTGGTAATTACTGACGCCTACCAGTGGGAGTTTGTTAAACACTGGCCATGACTTATAGATAAGACTACTACTGAATTTTCTTCTGCATTAATGGTTTGTCATTGAACGCTCTATTATTGAACTGAATATGATTTTGCATTAACGGTTTGTCATTGAATGTTTTGCTATTGAACTGAAGTTCATTCTACATTAACGGTTTATCATTGAACGTTTTGTTATGTTAAATTGTTTATCAGGCATGTTAAAATTTTACCCAAGGGTTATCCACATTTACTTACTGAGTTATCTCATAGTTTTTCCTTGTCCACCATTTCAGGAAGCGAAGCCAAGGACGGGGAAAAACGAGAGGAGTGACGAGTTAGAAGGCTAGCCATCTTGTAAATTGAACATAGATTTAGATATAAATCATGATCTTGTAAGCTAGACTTTATTTGGAGATTTTATGATATCAGGGTAAATTTTAAAATTTTATCTTCAGATTTGTGGTATCAGATTGTGGTATGATAAGTTCTAAGTGTTGTGCATTTGTGGGACCCTCTCACAAGTGCACGACGTTTGCCATGTTTTCGGATTTGGGTTATGAGGCATGACATAAACACTGGCCATGACTTATAGATGAGACTACTACTAAATTTTCTTTTGCATTAATGATTTGTCATTGAACGCTTTTGTAATATTCCAAATTTTCGGGAATATTTAAGTGTAAGTTAAGGACTTGATTGTGAGAAAAGATTGTTTTGGGCTTAATAGCCAACATTTCCAAACTTGAGGGACTTAAAGAGGGGAAGATTTTAGGATAAGGATCAGCTTCCTTCTTTTTCTTTTTTCTTTCTTTCTTTTCTTCCCAGCCATTCTCGATTCTGCTCTTCTTCTTCCCGCTGCAGCCACCCGAAGAAAAAAGAAAGGGAACCCAGCCATGCCTTGGAAAACTAATGAGATAAGCTTGGTTTTCTCCTTCCTTTCTTGCTCTAGAACACATCTAGAACCCAGAAATCTTCCCCCCCTGCTGGAAAAGCCGGATCTGCCCTGCTCTGCTTTGTCCTTCCGTCGGCTGCTCTTGATTGTGGGTGATTTCTGGGGATTTTTTTCGGTAAGAACAGCCTCTAATTCCTTTGTTCTTGCTTGAATTGGCTTGGGTTAACTTTGATTGCTCTTATTTCCTTCAATTTTGGGTAAACCCGTGAGCTTCCCCTACACTTGCCGCCGGCTTCTCTCCCCCTACAGCTCCAGTTTCTACAGCTGGAGAATTATGGTACGTTACAGCCTTTTAAGGCTTAAATTATCCATTTAAGGTTGTTGCTTTGTGATGTCCAAATTTTGCTAGAAAAATGGGGAAGAATTTGATAGCTTTAGGACCATGATTTAGCTTGATTCAAGTGGAATTTATATGATTGAGTGTTAATTGATTGCTGTGATTTTTGGAGTGGAATCCCGTGAGATTAGCTAGTGTTTTGGCCAATTTTGGAAGTAGAGTTACTGTTCACGTCGGGGTCACTGTTCACCGGCACTGTTCACCGGTTACTGTTCACACCCTGAGGGCCAACATTTAACGGGAATTTAAGTGATTAGTTTGTGATATAAGAACGATTTTGGAGATATTTGACCATGTGGAGATTTATGGAAATAGCATTGTGATTAGGAGTGATCCTAATCATGATTTCAGCTTGAATTTGTGATAGTCTGATATTAATTATGGATATTTTGATTAGGTTCCCGATCGTTCTGTCAGTTAGCACTGAGATTGAGTGCTCGGTTTTATGCGAGTGAGGTAAGTAATTTATGGTAATACCCGTACTGTTTTAAAAGCATGTTTTGATTTGTTTTTGAAATGGTGGCGGGATTAAACCCGTTTTACACGAGCATGATTGATTTGAAGTGAAATGTCTTATGCTTTTCATTAAATTGAGCACCCCTACTTGGAATTTAATTGATTGTCCTGATGATCTGAAAGTGATTGGTAAAGTATGATTTTTCTGTTAACTTCTGCCTGTTTTGTCTCCGATATGGTCATGTATTCGTGTGCCCGCTAGTGGGAGGTTTATAAACGCTAACACATGTCGACATGTTATTGATAGAACCGGTTCGTTTGAGTGACCCTGCTAGTGGGGGTTATACACCAGCAAATCGTGGCCTTGCTAGTGGGGATTATACATTGGCCGTGACCTATAGAGGAGACGTCTATTTCGTGCCCGTACTGTATCCGTTTTTCGTGATTGTACTTGTTGGCATGCTTTAAGTTTGATAAGGGGCACTCCATATTTACTTACTGAGTTTATCTCATAGTTTTTCCTTGTCCACCATTTCAGGATATGAAATCGAGGACGGGGAAACCACGGGAAGTGACGAGTTAGAAGGCTAGCCATATTGTAATTGGATATAAATTTTAGAAATAAATCATGATCTTGTATTTGGAGATTTATGATCGGAGAAATCTTATAATTTGATCTTCAGATTTTGATGGTATTAGAGTGTGATATGATAAGTTCCGAGTCTTGTGCATTTGTGGGATCCGTCTCATGAGTGCACGACGTCTGTCGCACCTCGAATTTGGGTTTTGGGGTGTGACAGCTTTGCTATTGAACTGAATATGATTCTGCATTAACGGTTTGTCATTGAACGTTTTGCTATTGAACTGAATCTGATTCTGCATTAACAGTTTGTCATTAAACACTTTGCTATTGAACTAAATTTGATTCTGCATTAACGGTTTATCATTGAACGTTTTGTTATGTTAAACTGGTTATCAGGCATGCTAAAATTTTACATAAGGGCTATCCATATTTGCTTACTGAGTTATCTCAGCGTTTTTCTTTGTCCACCATTTCAAGAAGCGAAGTCAAGGACGGGGAAAAACGAGGGGAGTGACGAGTTAGAAGGCTAGTCATCTTGTAAATTGAGCATAGATTTTAGATATAAATCATGATTTTGTAAGTTAGATTTTATTTGGAGATTTTATGATATCAAGGCAAATTAAAAAATTTTATCTTCAGATTTTGTGGTATCAGATTGTGGTATGATAAGTTTCAAGCCTTGTGCATTTGTGGGACCCTCTCACGAGTGCACGACGTCTGCTTTGTCCTCGAATTTGGGTTCTAGGGCGTGATAAGGTTCTAGGGCGTGATAGGGTTCTAGACGTTGGGTTCTAGATGTTGGAATCCAAGCGTGCTGGATTTGAACCCAGTAGCCACTGGGTTCCAACTGTTGGAACCCAACTGTTCTTGGTTCGAACCCAACCCAACCCAACCCAACGTGCTGGGTTCAAATGTAGTGGCCGCTGGCTGGAACCCATGCGTGCTGGGTTCAAATGCAATGGCCGCTAGGTTCCAGCCGTCGAAACCCACGTCTCCGAAAACCCAACATGCTTCTCTGTAAACATTTTATTATTAACATTTATATTTTAAAAATATAAAAATTTCATTTGTAAACATTAATTTTAACATAATTAAATTAAAAAAA